TCCTCCATCAGATGTTCCACTGTTCCACCATCAGATATTCTGTTCCTCTATGCTTGTTTAACTGTTCCACCATCAGATGGTCCACTGTCCCACCATCTCTGTTCTACTGTCCCATTATCTCTGTTCCTCTTTTCCAATGTTCCTCCATCAGATGTTCCACTGTTCCACCATCAGATATTCTGTTCCTCCATGCTTGTTTAACTGTTCCACCATCAGATGGTCCACTGTCCCACCATCTCTGTTCTACTGTCCCATTATCTCTGTTCCCCTGTTCCAATGTTCCACCATCAGACGTTCTACTGTTCCACCATCTCTGTTACGCTGTTCCACCATTAGATGTTCCACTATTCCACCATCAGATGTTCCATTGTTCTGTCATAATCGTTCTTCTGTTCCACCACCAGATATTCCGCTGTTCCACGTTGATTGTTCCACTGTTCCACCATCAGATGGTCCACTGTTGTACCATCTCTGTTCTATTGTTCCATTATGTCTGTTCCACTATTCCACAATCTCTGTTCCACTGTTCCACCATCTCCGTTACACTGTTCCACCATTAGATGTTCTACTGTTCCACCATCAGATGTTCCACCATGATTGGTCCACTGTTCCACCATCACATGTTCTACTGTTCCACTGTTCCACCATCTCTGTTCGACCGTTCCAGCATCAGACGGTCCAGTGTTTCACCATCTCTGTTCTACTGTTCCACCATCTCTGTTTCACTGTTCCACCATTATATGTTCCACTGTTCCACTATGTCTTTTCTACTGTTCCACCATCAGATGTTTTACTGTTGCATTATCAGATGCTCTTCTGTTCTACCATCAGATGTTCCATTGTTCCACGATTACTTTTCCACTGTTCCACCATCTCTGTCGCACTGTTTCAGCATCAGATGTTCTATTGTCGAACCATCAGATATTTTACTGTTCCACCATCTCTGTTCAACTGTTTCATCATGATTGTTCCACTTTTCCACTATCAGATATTCTGTTGTTCCACCCTCTGATGGTCCACTGTTCCACCGTCTCTGTTCTACTGTTCCACCATTAGATGTTCAACTGTTCCACCACGAATATTCTTTTGTTCCACCATCAGATGTTTTACTCTTCCACCATGTCTGTTCCACTGTTCCACCATAACGTCCGGGACGTCAACGTTTGGGACCAGCGGATTTGTTACACCTCAACGGCATTTTTTTGTACGCTATCATTTCCTTTATTCTCCCAACGCAGGGTACGCCAGACAAAATTTGACAAAACAGGCGCGATATTCCTGATTGAATGAATGAATGAATGAATGATTTATTTAATGTCGAAGACGTGGGAAGTGTTTACACAATCTTTCGAGCCAGAGGCTCGTGTTAAAAACGCTCGACAAACTAAAAAGTACAAAACGGGATAAAAAGTGAATTATGCATATACAAATATTAAGAAAAAAGATATTAAGAAAAAGAAAAATATTAAGAAAAACCTAAAAACATTCCTCATTCCTTACCACATTTTCCTTTGGCAAAGAAGTAAAACGTTATTTGGCGTCAGAACAATACTCGAAGGTAACCTGAATAGAAATCTTATTATAACTATAACTTTATTATGGTATTAGTTCGTCTCCCCTTGTGGCTGTCTTTTTTTTATTAAAACAAACTTAAATTATAACATAGCTAGGATATCCGTCCAATCAAATTCAAGAGGGCGGGCATGCTTCATATTGCCATTGAGCTGATGACGTCAATACACTATAGCTCGAGTTCTTGTGAGCTTAGCAATCCTCCCAAGACGTCTCCCAAGTCCATCAATAACCCAAGAGTACACGATGAAGACTTAACCATGTGTTTTATAACGTAAATTTAAGAAAAAACTTTTGAATTTGTGAACGGGTAGTAGGGAAAAGAGGTGAGTGTAGTTGTTGTCGTTGTTGTAATCTGCGCGAGCTGTGCGGGCTATGGCGTGTGCAAATCATATTTCTTTGCAAAGTTATTTGTTTCCAAAATAATTTTTGTGTGAATTAATAGTTTTTCGGCACCTCAATATGGTAAGCTAACATCAAAGCCCGGAGTCGAGCCAGGACTCCAGTTAGGACATTTCTAATCTTTCTGTAAGTAGAACAATAAATACAGTGAAACCTGTATTATGCGGACACCGTATTAAGCGAACACCCTCTATTAAGCGGACAGTAGCCGAAGGCCCAAAATTTTTTTCCTTATTTACTTTGAATGAGACTTTTATTAAGCGGACACCTCTATTAAGGTGGCTGAACACAGTTTTGGCAGTTTGTGAGTGTATGTCATTTGCCAAATCATGGCAAGAGAAAGGTTGCAGCTCACAAGCTGAAACTTGGCAGGTGGAAAATATACTAATGAACGATTTTGACTGACAGGTAAAATTTGACGTTTTCGTAGTTTCCATGGCAACAGGAACGATTGAATACAACCTTAAAATTTCACTTTTGTTCAGTTTACATAAAATTCGCACATTAGATTTTCGTATAATCTTGCACACAGCTTACTGTAACTAATCATTACCATTTGAAACTTATTTGATCAAATTTTAACAGACGGACTTTTAGATAATCAATAATATAATTGCATCGTAATTATTAAATGTGTCACGAAATTCGTCTGTTCAACCTCCATTTTAAAGTTTTCATTATCTAAAATACGATTAAAGTAAAAATTCTGCCAAATATCACAAAATTTTAATGAGTAGATTTTGAGAAATCGTCTTCTGTGTACCATTGCTTTTTCGCCGCCATGTTTGTTTGTCTAATTAAAAACACGCGCGGTCACGCGAGTTACCGCTGACCGCCCGCAAAACTGTGTTCAGCCACCTTAAGCGGACGCGGACGCCTAAAAAGTACCTGGAATAGTCATTTCTATTGTTATCAACCTGTATTTTAAAAACGTACACTTGTAATCAAATTCCACCACCCAACATGCCAGACACCGGAAATGCGAAAGACTACGTCGAATTTCCACCCACAACTTTTTCGATTTTTCATTAAAAAACGTGACTTGACGGAATTGTTTGATTGGTTTCACCACACAGTATTATTTTCTGTTTCGTTTTGTTTGTGTAGAGCTTGTTTCACTCATCTGATTTCTTCAAATTTGAGTTGTAACAGGAGCCGATTACCTGGTTGCAATCTATGTTTATGATCAATTGGACCACTTTGATAAAGAAATTAATGCAAACGTATAGCGCGATTTTCGTATGACCTTGAAAAATGGTTTCGGAAAGTGTTCGTTATTTGTTTTATCAGCCAATGGATGGAAAGATCAAAACATGGACTCTTCGTTTTCCCGCCAAAGAAAACCCTAATATGGAGAAGGCATTGTTCGACTGGCCAATCGTGTTGCAGTATGACGTCAAAGCGAAGTATCGATTGATTTCTAGAAAGTTCTCGAACGTGAAGTCTTTTCACCCGAGCGTTCGCTTAACCAACCAAAAGCCACGCACGTTTGTATCCGTTCGACAAACCAATCAAATCTCTCTGTTTCCGTTCGTTTGTTGTTGCTGTGTCGTTCGCACCTTTTCATTTCAAGGACATACGAAAATCGCTCTATCGTCAAAGTCTCTGGGTGTATTCTTAACATTTCCACTGTTCATTTAAATGGTATTTGACACCTCATATGACGTTATCTATCGAAACCTGTATTAGGCGGACACCCTGTATTAACTGGACGCTACAGCATTCCCCGAGGGTGTCCGCTCAATAAAAGTAATAAATAGGACCCCTTTTTTAAGTCGTAACCTCCTAACCCTAACCTTACCCTAACCCTCACTCTAACTTTTACCCCCAACCTAACCCTAACCCTAAGGGGGTGGGGGTACCCTAACTTAACCCTAACCTAACCCTAACCCTAACTCGAGCTTTCCTTCCTCTTAATGGTCATGGGACTTGCAGGACGTGAAAATGGCGGGAAAGCGAAAAACTGTCGAGGCCTGCGTCGAGTCCTGGCTTTGATGTTAGTTTATCTCGAGATTTTAATATAGGGATAACCTCATGATCCTTCTTCAGCTTTCGTAGTGGTGGCTACCTGTAAACGGTGTATGAATGAATATTACGGATAAAAAGTGTTGATCTGGTGTAGACATTTTTTAAATCTTTATAAAGACTTCTTAAGTAGCAGTTTGATTTTTTTTCTGATTTGTAACAATTAATCATCTTTATGTTTGGTTGCTGCGTTCCAGATAGACGACAGCTGTCCAAATAATCCGAATATCATATATTTTCGATTCCTAATTCTGCCCGTCACGTTTTTAATGACGAGTTTTAGGTTCCTTGATTCAGACGTTCTAAGTAATCGCTGAGAATATGTTTTAGAAACAATTTTGTTAGGAGAGAAAATATAAACAGAAACAAATGAAACAGGAAGTGGCCTTCATTAATACGTTTCACTAGGGATACTTTTTTGCGGGAGTTTGATTTTTAGGATGCTTTAAGATTGCATGGGCGATCGGTTGTGGTTCGTTTTCCTGAAAAAAGAAAGAAAAAACCTCTGGGCCAAGTTGTTCAAAGCTGGGTTAAGATAACCCAGGGTTTGTGCGAGATTTGAATTCAGATTTGAAAGCTTAAAAGGCATTTCACTTTTAGTTCTTGTTGTCTACAAGTTGATGATTGGAAGCTCTAAAAATAGAAACAAAATTATCCGAGAAAATGCGTTTGAACACAAGATAAAGAAACCCGGGTTAAATTTAACCCTGGGTTAGGCACTAATCGGCCTTCGAACAACTGGGCCCTGGGTTAGCGTAGGCACTGTTTATCCCTTCCTTTTTAGTTTTCTCAAAATGTTTGATTTCGTTTGTTCATTTATCCTAAATTTAAAAAACCTTGGGAAGAAACGAAAAAGAGAAAAAACAGACTAGCCTTTCCCTCCCTTCCCCTGCGACAACAAAGTTAACGGGTGTTGTCCAATCGTCCAATCAGGGAATCGACTGGTCAAACGTTCGAAATTCAAAATCACGCGTGATTTATATTGCTTCGTGAGAGGAATGTGATGAACGGAAAACATCAAAGCTTGATTTGCAAGTTGAATCAACTAACTGTGGTCAACGGAAAACATGGTGGAAATGGCTGCAGAACGATCGCACAAGAAATATGGCAAAGGAAAAAACAGCAACATGAAAGTTGTTGTGCGCGTAAGGCCTCCGAACAACATGGAACTCGCTAAGCAATCTTCCACTTCTGTTCGTGTGATGGATGAACGTGTCCTAGTTTTCGATCCAAAAGACGACTCTATTGATTATTTACCAGGCGATCGACTTAAAAATCATCGAAAGTTCTTGACACGTAGAGCAAGGGATTTGAGATTTATGTTTGATCGAGTGTTCGACAACAGCGCCAGCAATCGCGATGTCTTCGAACACACAACAAAAGCGATCATTGATGGAGTACTCGAAGGATACAACTGCTCTGTGTTTGCCTATGGAGCGACGGGAGCCGGTAAAACATTCACCATGTTGGGAGATTCTTCCAATCCGGGGGTGATGTTTCTTACCATGATGGAATTATACAGTAGAATTAATGCTTGTAAAGACGAGAAAATCTCTGATGTGGCTGTCTCCTATCTCGAGGTAAGCGATCATTGTACAGGTAACAACGGTAACACATAGATAAGCTCACATGGCGAATTGTAGGCTTAAAACCGACATATGGTTTGAAATTTTGACCTTTCATGTATGATCGGGGCCTTTATTACTAGAAAAGAATACGACTCGACGACTGTGTTATTACAGAGAACTGTCTGTGCTTCATTTTTAAACACAGAGCATCCACGATCAGGTCTATGGCTTTGCACCGATTTCGCTACTTGTCCAATTCGCTGCGATGCGTTCGAGTCAAAGTCCAAAACTTGCACCTTCGGAAGGGGAAGTTAGAACGAGAGATATGTTATTTTTTTGTGTGGTGGTATTAAAGAAGTATTTTTAATGGTTAAGTAGGGAAACCGGTTGTTACCCTTACATATAGACCTTAATTGGACGGGATTGACCTGGGCAGGAAAAACATAAGCTTGTGAATTCTTAAGGTCAGTACACACTAGGCGACAAGTTGCAGCAACATGTCGTGACAACACGTCGCAGCGACAAATCGCTTCATGTGTACTGGAGAATTTTTGTGAAAATCTTTGTCTCTGCAACAGAATTTTGTCACAGCAACATGTTGCAAAAAATCAAATCAGACAGAATTTGTGCGACTTGTCGCGGTGACAAAATTCTGTTGCAGGGACAAAGATTTTTACAAAATTTCTCCAGTACACACGAAGCGATTTGTCACTGCGATGTGTCACCAGAACATACATGTTGCTGCAACTAGTCGCTGGACCTGTACACATGGAGTGATCTGTCTCTGCGACTTGTTGCTGCAACTTGTCACCTAGTGTGTACCGACCTTTATATGATGCATTTAGTTCATCACTTCAGCATTATGTATGCGCTAGGGATGAACGTCTAGTGCACTGAATCAAAGAGTGATACAGACACTATAAGTTACATGTAAAGTGTATTGCAAAACAGAAACATCCTTATAGTGTCCATTGGTTTCACCACAGTTATTGACAATGCAAATAATAACAATATCCCATGTTTGCTGAAGCAGCAAATCAACAAACCTGCAGTGTAGTAAAAATCGCTGGTAAAGTTAATGGTCAGTGGTAGTCTTTACACTAGAGCCTAAATAAGCTAAGAAATTTTTCCAGACAAGTAAATTTTAAATTCTTCAAGTAAAAGAAAGCTTCACACACAACCTATCTTTTTTACTTTGGTTTACTTAAGCCTATTTTCCCATGCAACATAATTAAGATTGTTTGACATGCTTCGCCTTTCTAAAAGCTAAAGAAACTGCAATAAGTTGGTTTTCAAGTCACTTGAAAGTTTCTTGAATCGTTTCAACTTTCCGACTTGAATGAGATGCAAAGTAATTAGTTACTTGAGACTTTACTTAGGCTTTCACATGCATTTTTGGTTAAGTAAAACTTATCAGCTCTTAAGTCTTACTTAACAGCCTAGTGTAAAGACAACCAATGTATTTGCTGGGCTGAGTAAAAAGTGCATTCGTCCTAAAATCATTAGCCTGTAGGAGCAGATGCCATTTTTTGCTTTTGTCAACGGGTGGATCAGAAGCCAAAAAAGGTGTCTGCTTGCATACTAGCTATCATATCATAGGTGGATAATATTGCAATTATAAATGAATTCAAGGGCTCATCGCTGGTTGGATCACTTTCTGTAGTGAGTAAAACTAATTAAAATTTTCTCCAGGCATAAAAAGTGGCCTAGAAAAGAAAAATTATTGGTGTTGTATTTTTCATTCTAAAAACACTGAACAGGTGAATCAACACTGAAGCGAAATGACTGCAATTTCTGGTCACTTGCAGTCTCATTACCCTCAATCCCACTAGGTATCCCAATAAAGATAAGAATGATTACTAAATAGTTGGTGGATGATAAAAAAAAGAGAGAAAGGGTTGTTTTTTCCCCTCTTCCCAGCCTCCATATGACACAAAGAGGCCTTGGCGAAGGAAAAAGCTCATTACTGAAAGTGGCAGACAGTGACACATATGTCTAGTATGAAAAACATCAGACAAAATTGCTGTAAAACTCTAAACCATGAATACCAGAATTATTTCTGGAATGTTATTTTGTAGCACTTAAAAAGCCAATCAGATGTGAGAAAACTTAAGTGCTAGCCAAAAAGTGATAATTTTGAGATCTTCTGGCGTGCTAAGAAAACATCAAGTGTCCACACATTTCTGAGTATGACAGAAAAAGTCTGAACAACACTGTCAGAACAACAAAATGAGCAGACACCATACGGAGTCTCTGATGCCATGGGATGCACTAAATTAAAAGTTACTGTTATCAGCCAGACAACATCTTATATGCCCTCTAGTATAAATATGGCCAGTGTCTGTTATGAGCACTTTTACAATGCTGCTTATACTTATTATATTTTTATTTTATACGTACAAGGTTTACAATGAAACAATCAGAGACCTGCTTATGCCTGGTCAGCCTCTGGCTGTGCGGGAAGATCCACAGCGAGGAGTGTGTGTCAGTGGTCTTACTCTTCACAAGGTACTGTTTATTAGCAATAAGCATTGGATCATGTATGATATAGAGGATATTTTTACATGGCGGTGCGGAGATACAAAATTTCTCTTCGAGTGTTGGAAAAATATTTCACAAGTGAAGAGAAATTTTGTATCTCCAAGCAGCCATATAATGTCCTATTTATTATATAAACATATATAAATGAACTACCAAATAAACCATTTCACTTTAATAGTTTTTTGGTGTGAAAGGCGTGATCTATTATGTCGCCATAGCAATGGTGATATTTTCACATGTGAAGATAACATGTTATTTTCACTCGTGAAGATCAAGTTTCCGTGCGAAAGCTCACCTGTGTTTACATGATAAGACAGATATTATTCATCGTGGTATGTGTATGATAGTCTCATTTATCATTTGTCTCAAGATAGTCACTTTGATGATGGATTGTGAAGTTTCAAATGCCTAGCAGGGGTTTCAAAATGTTTTGAAGTAGAGGGTGGACTCTGGAAAAGTAGACAGCTGTGACAATCAAGATTGTTTGTCACGAGCTGATTGTTATGTCCAGAGTAGCCAGCAACATACAGTACAGTCAAGTAGGCGGCAGAACTCCGGCAGTCGCGAGCTTGTTTTGTTTCTTTGTCATGGCCTGGTTCCTCGAAAGGTGGTTAAGTTTAACCCAGGATTAAGCCAAATTTTAAGCAAGGTTTTCTTGTCCAGGGCCATCATTAAGAGCCAGAGGCCGGGGATTTCACCGGGCTACTTAGAATGTGGCCCCAGCTACTTTCACTGGAAAAAAGAAGAAAAAATAAAACCAAATGAAATCTCTAGCTGTTTGATTTCCCGCCTACTTGTTGTAGTTACTGGGCAACTTGAAATCTTATGACAACCCTGCTTGTCTAAGAACATGCAACTCGAGCTCACAAAATACTGTTCAGCCTTATCTACACAAAAATAATATATAAATTAAAAATTGAATTTTCATGCACATGACTGTTTTAACCTTTTGTATGTGCATTATATCATTCAAGGTGTATAAATGGCAATCTGACAATTTTTTTATACTTTCTCCTTTAATTTTAATTAAGCCCTCTTCTGCTGAAGAGCTTCTAGGAATGCTTGAATTTGGAAACAACAACCGAACTCAACACCCGACTGATGCTAACGCACAGTCATCAAGATCCCATGCTGTGTTTCAGGTATAAAAATGTTAATATTAAAATTACTAAAATCAATGCCGTGATTAAATACTAAATAAATAAGATATTAATTTGTTTATACTACTACATGAGAAATTTCTGCAATTTGGTTGGCTTAGAGCAATGGTATTTCAGCTTAATTTGAAATACCTACTTGTGAAAATTACAAAACCTTTACTGGTAGTAGTATAAACAAATAATGCCTGATTTGTTCGTGATATTTGGCATAAATACCACTCGTGATATTTCAAAATTCTCTCAAATTTCACTCGCCTGTTGGCTTGTGAAATTATGTGCAACAATTTTGAAATATCACTTGTGGTATTTACGCCAAATGTCACTACAAATCATGCTATTACCTATACTAATACCATAAACTACTGCTTATAAGTCCTACATGTAGGCTCATACAACCTTTGTAAGGAGTTTTAGGAAGGCTTACAAATAGGGAGGGGGGGACTTACATTTAGAGTGGGGGGGCTTGTAACTGGACTGGAAAAAGCATCAAAGCTACATAGCAGCCTTTTTAAATTTACTTGCTTTACTAAATTCTGTTTTTTTGTGCACTATATGGGTTTGAATGTTATCTTGATTTTTTCTTTGATACCCGTTCATTCTTTATTTCCATGTTTATTTCTGTGAATATTGTATATGTTGTAGTTAATTTTCTATCTCAGGTAATTTTTGTTTTTCTTTTTGGTTGGGTATGGTAATGTATGCTAATGAAGTTGAAACAAAAGGCAAATAAAAATTAACTATAACAATTGTAAGTGCATTGATTAATGCTTTGCTTCACCACATGTTAGGTGTTTGTTCGACAGAAAGATCGAACTGCCGGATTAAAAGCAAACTTCACAATGGGGAAAATGTCACTGACTGACTTAGCAGGATCTGAGCGAGCCATAGTAACATCCAACAGAGGGGCACGATTTAGGGAGGGTGCTAACATTAACAAGTCCCTACTGGCTCTTGGAAACTGCATCAATGCATTGGCAGACAAGGAGGTAATTGACTGTCTATATTCATGCCATTTTAAAAATGTAAGGGTGCTTCTGCATCAACAAAAGAATAAAACTATAAAGTTCTAGTTGAGAGTCATGTCTTTCTGTTTTTCTTTTTGCTTCTTCACATACTAACTTACATGTAAGGCTACCAGTAATTTCTACATGTACTCATGGCCAGTACCTACAGAAGGGTTCCCATTATAAAAAGTTCTTGCCTAGTAGACTGACTATCAACTTGATTAATGCATAGTCAGATACTGTAATCACATAGCTGATACAATAAATTTATAGGTTTCATTAATACTGTAGAATTCCGAAAGTAACAGTTCCTCCCCAAAATAACAGCAACCGAAGCGTGACATTAACTTTTTACCTTCCTATTGAATCCTGAAAGTAGCGGCCCTTGGAAATTACCACTCAACTACAATAAAGTATCAAATGAATCTAATGTAATGTTTTAAGCAGTAGTTGCGATCTATGTAACAAGTGATTTTAAAGCGTGTTTAACATTAAACATATGTCATAACAGGAATGAGAAAAAAAATAGTTGTGAATTCTTTTTGTTTTTAAAATCATTCTGAAAAAAAAAAATTTAGTTTTAAGCTTATTAGTGAACAAGTCAACTAAATGAGGTAACAAAAGACTTAAGCTTAATTTGCATTTGTAAACAAAAAACTTTTTCACCGTTTCATCGATAAATTCAAGTAAAAAAAATGAAGCTTTAACTGATAAAACTTCCAAACTGAACTTCATCATCTGCTACATGTATTTCAGGTACAGCTAGCTTGATTATTTGTGAAATTTCTTTGTTACGGCAGCAAACCAGGGAGGCATCTCGCTCGCAACTTACGCGAGTTTTGGTGTCTTTCGCTCCGTCGGAGGAATTGGAGGTGAATCATTGAATAGTGCAGGATATTCACGGATTGAGTAGCCAATCAGAGCATGTGAAAAACACTATCCACTGTTTCAGTATATACTAAATATGATTATTCAAATTTTGTTTTCTTTTCTAGAACAAATCAGGTCATATTCCCTACAGGGACAGCAAGCTGACAAGACTTTTGAAAGATTCCTTGGGCGGAAACTGTAGGACAGTAATGATTGCCGCACTAAGGTATTTATACAGTGTATATCATTGCATTGGGTTGCAATGATAATTATTGAAATCAGTAGGATCTGGTAGTAAACAGCAAAAAGCAATGACTGGCTGTGGTAATGGTATCTGTTATCAGTGCAACATTGTCCATCATCAGATGTTGTAAGAGGCTAGTTGCAGTAAAGTCAGATCTTGAGTTGTCCTTTTCCCCTCCCCCTTTACTCACAGTTTTGCTCCCCACCCGTGCTTCAATGTCACAGGTGCCTTGATGTCTTACATAGACTATGAGGGACATGGCTGAGTCATGGGGGGAGGTGGGAGATGGGAGTGGTACTAAATTTAGGAGAGGGTTGGCCTCCAGTATCTCCCTTGTATCCTCTAAGATACAGGAAGAAGAGAGACCCTGGGGACAATGTTGGCAGCACCCAACCTAGGCTTGATAACCCCCCGCCCTTTTCTGTGTTTTTGTTAGTTCCTGACAGTGTGAAAAGACAGTTAGCATCCAACAGTCCAGGGCTAGTAGATTTAGATCGGGCTAGTGAATTCTCTTCATAAACCCAATGGACAAGTGACGTTTTTTGGGGAGTTCAAATCACAAAAGAACTGTAATGAACCCTGCTCATCCAAAAACATTTTCGGCTCGCACATGCTAGCTACCACTTTGCCCGAATTGCTAGCTCATAACACTCATTCTCTTAGGCACCCTGCCTGAGAGAGTGCAGGTTTATTTTCCTGAACAGCAGCTGGTAATTCAGCCTGCACCCAAGCTCCATCATAGTGATGTTTAAACATTTTTAATCTTTTCTGTCTGTATGATCCACATCTATTACGTGCATATTACAATATTCAGCCCATCAGGCCTGAGTTATGAGGATACCTACAATACTTTGAAGTATGCAGACCGTGCCATGAATATCAAGTGCAAGGTGGTCAAAAATGAACTATCAGTTGACATGCATGTTAGCCGCTATGCTAAGATTGTGGAGGAACTCAGACTTGAGGTAAAGAAAGACATAACCAGGGCTGTGCTCTAATAGAGCCCAGTGGCCCCTGGCGCCTAACTTTTGCCCTCGGGCGACTAGCAAATCGTAGTTTTTTTCATACAAATCATATGCTGGGCACCCTAGATTTTACAAGTTCAGAGCACCGAGCTCCCTTCAATTCTTCTTAGAGCACAGCCTTGATAACAAAAATTTTGTCTTTGGTTCAATGTACCCCTTCCTCACTGCAGCAGGGCTTGGAAAACCCTTTGGGCAAGCAGCTCTCACATTCTGCCTGCTCATGGCCATTGCTTGCTTGTCTCATAGTTAAATAAATGATTTAGTTAGAACATGACTTGCATGGACCCTAGACTGCCAGTAGTCTCTTATTTTTCTTTGCAAAGTTACTTTGTGTGTAAACCGTGCATGTGAGCCATGATAAACAACTAGGGTGTAAGCCAGAGAAGAAAAAATAAGACCAATCAGCTACTCCATTTCTGGGCCAACAAAGGGTTTGTTTGCTAGAAAAGAGTGCTCTGAGTCTGTCTTTTCTCATCGCATCCTAATTCCTTCACTTATTGTAACGTCATTGTTTACAATCTTGCTGGCTGGGAAAAGAACTAGACAGATTTTAAGAGAAAAGGTGGACTGCAAGCAGTCTACACAGACCCTTGCCTGCTGGGCAAGTGAGCGAGCTTTAAAAGTTAAATAATATTATTGCTATAAGTTGCCCTGCAAGAAAATCTACTGGTCTCAATCTACTGGAAAGGCCTTTTTTGAAGCACTGCATCCTCCTGTCAAATCAACTTGAACCTCGACAAAATAATTATGATATCACTGTACAATCAACTATCCATAATAATGCATTTCTTCAAACTTGGTTTGAGAGTATAATATTTTACATTTATTTTTTTATTAGTAGTATTTTTAAATGTACCCAGTGTTTTCAAGCCTGAACTTTTATTTTTTCTTGATGTTTACTTATTAAGCTCATTAAAATAGTAAAACCTTTATTTAAATTGGTTTATTTATTTGTTTAATATTAATCTTTACAACATTATTAAACCACAAATAATTGCTCAAGGTGCTTAAGAGCCAAAAGTGTTGGGAAGACTGCTACTTTTTACCTCTTTTTTTCCTTCCTCCCCCCGCCCCTGGCCCAATATTGAGCAAAACTTTAATGTTTGTGTGCGTAATTGTTCTCTTATTTCCCAACTTTGAATGGGGGATGGGAGATATTTAGGAAAAGAGAAAACTCTCTTTTTGGAGTATTAAAATTGACTACTGGTAAGTTGTACAATCTTCCCCACTACTTTTGTCTAGGATTGTGGTTTACCAATGAGATGTTGTACTTTGTAGGAAATGTCATTGCCATAATTTCCTCCAAGCAAGAAAGCTGTAATTCTTTTTTACAGATTTCTGAGCTCAAAAAGAAGCTGTTTGGTTATGAAACAGTACCACCTACACCAAAGAAGTCTGGTGACTCAAACACACAGTCACAAGAAGAGATAAATAGGTATGAGTCATTAACACTTCTACTTCTAAAACAACTAGGCCCATAAGCTAACAAAATTACATTTTCACGGACAGGTATTGAAATAACATGTTTCAATGCTTTTGACAACTAACCCTTAGTATACACTACATATACTGTAGACACTATAACAAAGTACCAGAGTGATGTCTTTATCAACTGCAAGAGTGCTCAATTGTTGAACTAGAGCACAATACAATTAGACTGATGGAAGTGGATTAAACCTTGATCATTTATTGCTACTTCAGGGCTCAACATTACGACCCGTGGGGTCGCCAATGCGACCAGCTTTTACTCAGCGGCGACCAAATTTTCATGACTGGTCGCCAACCTGGCCCCCAAGATAGGTGACTTTCTTCGTTGGGAAAACGTACACTAATGATAATCCATTATCCCTCACAAAACTAAATCCATTAATTCTTAAATATAATTTTTCGCGACCAGAGAATACTTGTTCTGGCAACAAAAAAAGAAAACTTGGGGGCCAGCTGGCCCCAAGATTTTTTCTGAAAGTCAAGCACTGTTATGTAGATTTTCATGCCTCTTAATTGCAAAGCAATCATCAGGCAACTGCCCAAAGTAACGGTTATAGACAGTATGTATACTATAGCATTGAGTGTTTTTATCATGTCATATTAAAGTATGATTATTGGTATGCTTCTTAAATTTAGACTAAGTTCAAGCCTAAAAAGTATAATGAAAGAGAGGATTGTGGTAAGAAGGAACATAATTGACATTGAAGCAGCTGAGAGAGATCTTCGATTAAAACTTTACAGAAAGGCAAGTTTCAGATATTAAGAGTTTTTATGGTGTATGTCTCTACTACCTATGATATAAAGTTTATTCATTGTAGGTCAGTGGTTGCATGCTAGAAAAGAAAATAGTAATAAATATATTATATACAGTTTTAATTGCACTACTGTAAAATGTCTCAGTGTTGAACCTTGATGTTTCATTGTAGGAGAGAACACTGAAAAGGATACAGATAGTGTGTGTTGACGGAGAAAGACTTGATCAGGTAGGTATACATATTGATATAAATACTGTCTTTATCATTATTTTAAGAAATACATGACTGATTGTACTATAATTACCCTGTCACTAAAATGTCAAGTTGCCAGGTATTATGTGATTAGTAGGAGGGGAATTGGGATCATTATATGTTTCTGGGAAACTGCCTACCTACCCCTCCCCTAACCCAACATTTTGCCCTAAGTGCGAAGTAAGTGTTAATGTTGGCTTAGGGGGGGGGGTAGGTGGGCAGTTTCCCAGAAACGTATACTGATCTGGGAATTGTACAGCAAGGAAGTACCTTTGGTTTTGTTTTCCTTTTGTTTCCTATAAGTCCTATGGGCTCACACGCATAGTAGCAAGGGAAAATCCCAGGTCCCCGGCCCTTAGTGACAGCCCTGATTACCTGATTATCCTTTATAAATATTTGTGAATAAGTTAATGTAATTTCCACTGGCTGAGGAATGAAATAAGTGGAAAATGTTTTCTCACACACACCTCTGGGGAGCCTGGGCCCAAGGGGTTGTTTTGAGGCACGTGCTCGGTGTTGTTTGTCAGTTGCTTTTTTGTTCTCCGTCATTGCGCGGTCATGATCAGCTTGACAATGCCTCCCAGAGGTACGTGTATGTGAGAATAGTTATTGACAATAGGAGGATACAGTCAAGTGCTATAGATCGAATAGAACATAGTGCGTTTGCACTGTCTATCACCATCATATTCATTGTGATCATGCAAAACTGAACATAGCTAGTGTCCTTCTCAGAACAGAGATTGTTGAGGTAATCCAGAGACATGGGCCCCAACACTTATGAACTTTTGGCCCTGGTTATTCAATTGCTGAATAGAGTTATCCTCCAGATAAATTGCTGTATACTGGATAAGTATTAGGCAAACCAATGGCATTATCCATTGGATAGTGATTTGTCCAGTGGTTAGTGCTATTCATCTTTTAAACAACTGGGGTCTGCCCATAAAAGAAAAGTTTTAAATTTAATTCAACCCTGAAAATGACACGGTTTCTTTTTTCCATTAAGTATCAGGTATCAACATTATTTTTAGGATGATATAACAGGAAAAAAATTTTAATATCCAATCACCAGACACTTTCCAAGACAGAGTCTTACATTTCTGCCACAAAAGTCAAACAGAAATACATTGCATCAAAAAAGACAGAATTTGAAGAACAGACAGCTAAGAATGACCGTTGGTTGGAACGTATTCAGTCTGAAATTAAACTCGAGACTGACCCACATGTAATAAGCCAGTTAGAACAGTGTCAGTCCTCCATGAGGTTACAGCTGGAAAACATGGAACTGAAAAGAAATTGTCAGCTTTACAAGAGGCATGTCAACACACAAGAAAAAGATATGCAAAACACGGAAAGGTGAGGGTGTAAGCCTCAATAGCTACATGTAAAATCTTTAATGTTATATGCAATCATCTATAAATAATAAAATTTATGAAATGTTAATAAAAAAGGAGAAAAAAGTAAGTAATTATTGAGAGGTCAAGTAAGCTAGCTGTTGTTACTCAGATCAGATTGGAAACTGGAAAAGTTGGTTTTTAAGAGAAGATCAGGGGATACAGGAGTACACTTGAGAAAATTTTCAGAGCAAGGATAAGAATCAAGGATACTCCCATTTAACACTAATTTAATAATCATGATAAACTAGATTTAAAATTTTCAACAACAGTCTAAAGGTTGTATTTTGCTACTACTATTATTAGTAAGGTTGAGAAATGCTATCTTTTTTATCAATATTGTGTTGCCATCTTATGTACTTTTCAGACTTGTAGTTAAATTACTAAGCATGGTGCAAAGACAGTACCTCCTCTTAAAAGGTGTCGGTCTTGCTACTGATGAGTTAACAGAAGAATACAATAACGTAATTGAAACAGTAGAAAATGGAAGAGAAGTAATGTGGGCAGATCAGAGCCTAAAAGACAGTGATGATGGTGACAAGCAATCATTCATAATTAACTGTCAGTCCACAACTTTTGGTAAGTTATGACATGTCTGCAATCATTTATTGTGGTTTAAAGTTGAGTGTGCACCAATCCAATCACATTAAATTATCATTTCAGACCAACTTACAATCAAGTCAGTTCAATTACAATTTTTTAAATGTACCTTATAACAGTCCTAAGGACTTGACCTTGGTGATACTCGGTGATGAGAGTGGGATTATTAACCGATAGAATTAATAACAAATTGAGAAAAAGTAATGTAATTAGTGAGCATGCACCTATCCGTGAACCTGTCCCTTTAATTCATTGGCAAGAGTGCTCCACTGGTATCGCAGCAGCCAGGGTTCAAATCCCAGCAAGGGTAAATTTTTTTCAGGCTTATTCCTTTGGCAACTGCACAAGTTGCGTCTTTAATGCGATCATTGTCTTTGTATTTCTCAATATTTTTTTTTTGTTTAAACAACTGGTCTGATTTGTTTTTTCTTCTTAAAGGAACATCTCAGATACGCACTCCCATCAGAAAACGTCAATTCAACACACCCATGGCAAACACAGACAAAAGCACCCCTCAAAGAAGGATCCCTTTTGATCAAGAACCAATGAAGACATTTACACTATCAGCAACATCAAAAATGCGTAATCTCAAGTTAGCAACAGATGATTCAGACTTTGCCAGTACTCGGATTTCTCTGACAAAAGAATTTGAGGCAATGTCTTCACCAGCGAAATCATCTCTTCCAGCTAGAGGACAAAACATGGTGTCAGCAAAAGGTGAAGTGTCTGTTGTTCAAGCAAACAGTAGCTCTACAACACCGCTACGGATTCCATCATCTTTTACTGCAGTGTCAGGGACTAACACCAGTACTAGTAATTCTGTGTCATCACTTGGAACAGTTCTTTGTCAAAACAGTTTGAATAAGCCTCTAAGATGTCCAACAAAACAAGGAACTCCTCATCCTAAAATTTGCTGGGGTGAAAAACATGGCAATGTCAGCCCTCAATGTACTTCTACTGAACAGGCTCAAAACATTAGTACTATATGTACACCCATGAGGGACACTAACCAATTCAACTTATCAGGAATACAGCCACTTAAGGAGACTCCAGCAGAAAAAAATCAACGACTGTCATCAGGAAAGGTACTAATTAGCATAGTTTATTCTCTTATTTTATAATAGATGTTGCCTGACTACTAAATTTGGCAGTCTTGATAGAATAAAATAATTTTATTGGTGAAAAACAATAGTTTAATGCATGTTGAAGTCAATGGATGACAGAGAGTCTACTCAAGATGTCAATGATGTAAATTGAACCACTTTGAAATTACAGGTGCATAGAAGGTGGACCAAACAGGTAAAAAAAAGGATCACTCCAGGAAAAAAGGAAATAATATCCTGAGTCTAATTCAATACAAAAAAACCTTAAGTTTGCAAATGGAAAGAAAAACTTAAAAATTTGTGTCTCTTCATACAAACATTCAGGATCAGTTAAAGTCTTACTTAGACCGCAGTTTAAGAAATCATTGGACTTCCAGATCTTCCTGATAAGTTATTTTAAGAAGATATAAGAAGATAAATGTTTCTAATCTACCCTATAATTATGCCTCCATTAACCCCGTTCACAATAAATGGTTTTGAGATAAATGCATTGGGAAACTGAAATGGTTTACAGTGTGGTTTTGTTGAACACTAGCTAATTATTTTTCCCAATTAAACTGCAATGGTTTCTTTACAGATAAGAGGACCTATACTAAATAACCCTCTGGCAACACCCCTCCGAGAACTGCCTGCCAACAGGTCAAATGTTATAAAAGATAAGCTGCCTTCCATACTGGAGCAACTGGGAAATCCTTTTAGTAAGAGTAAGAATAAAATATGACCAATTTTCACTTTGTTTTGAAATTACTAGCCTGCGTAGCAAGTGTTTCCGTTTAGTTTCGCAGCAAAAAAAAGCGAGGAACGGGATTTTCGGTTTTGACCACGCGAGAAATGAAATAAGAACCATTTTTCGCATGGTCTTTGACTCTTGGTCCGCGTTCTTTACTCCTAAACCGCACAGAAATGCATCCTACGCAGGCTATGAAATTATAAGCCTTAGCCTCAGAGCTTACCTGAGAAAACAGCCTAAATTTCACAGCAACCTACAACTGGTTTCCCTGAGAAATCATGTCTGAGGTATGACTGATGACCTGTCACAACCCAGATCTGGGCAGTGCCTCTGACTGGTTGAAGCAAATTTCTCTTGTGGCATGACCATTGACAATCACTACACAGATCTGGGTAGTGGAACATCATCAGGATGGAATGTCTTCCAGGGTTTGCACAGTTTTGTTTTTGGTTTTTGATGCTTTTTGGTTCTCCAAGACAGAATATGAATCATAGCTCAGAGAATTTAAAGGTTATTTTCACAAAGTGCTCAATGTTTTATGCAATAATTAACTATCACTTTAAGACAAGTGAACTGAAAAATGTAGAGAAGTTGGTGAAGCAAACAGTTCAAGCGTTAAAACCTTATTAGAATAGACTGGGAATGTGCATTTTTGTACAGTCTGTGAAAATATATTCCTAGTAGGTGGTCCTTGAAAAGTCCTTGAAAAATGGTTGCAATTTTTTGTATGAACCCTGTCTGCACTCATAGGCATTCCTCTGAGGTCCTTTTGTGGGGAAGCCAGCAGTGTAGTCGTTTTCTCAGGCTACATCAGGACTTATGGAAAATAATGATTTCATTAATAGTACATGCATATGACTGGTACACAAATGTAATTGTTATATAGCTGGAAACTTTTCCAACAACGTGCCCTCTCATTGGTTACTTTTAGGTCACATCACATCTAACAATGAAACTGCTTTCCGCCAAAATCTCTGAGCAGGCAAAATTACAAAAAAGAAACATTGTAAAATCTATGACTTCGGAGAGTAAGAGTGCACTGTTACCCGCAAATGTTGATTGATGACCATTTTTACAACGAGGTTTAATGAATTTCCAGCTTCAAAATTTGCTTTAACTGTTTCCCTCTGGACCAGTCATTAATTGTTGGGTGCTCGTTTAGTTTTTCAGTACTTGGTTAGCTGCTAATCCTGGGAACTATCAGGGCTGTCACCAGACTATGTCCCTATTGTGCAAAAATAACTGTTTTGAAATTCAGAAGTTGTAGTTTACTGTATGTAGGGTGCAAAAGTTTAAAACATCTCTTTACTGTACCTTGCAGAGAAATCAACTAGTGAAAGAAGAAGTACAGACATGATGCCAAAGAGGTGAGTTCTTTATCTGTCTTGATTATGCATAGCTTGTCACAGGCCCTTGATCAGTGAGTTGGTATAAGTGGAAAGAAAATGTGAGTGCTCGTTAAAAAGAGAGGAACCTTTAATCTCTTTTTCTATCCTATTAGAGTGCACAATGCCACAAAAGAAAACATGCACAAGCCAAAGCAACCTTCAAGATGTAACAGTGTTGTAGAGCTTGACAAACTGCAGTCAAAGAAAGTTAAGAAACACATGAATGGACTAAGAAGAGCAATGAGTAGCACAAGTATCGGAACAAGCAGAAACTTTGCACCACGATCATCGTAAGTATTATTTAGTACCATCCGATAAACTAGTTACTATTAATGATAATGTTATTCAAAAATGTTGTTGATCACTTATGCAAGTAGCATATAGTATTAGTGAGTCTTGCATAGTCAGCATAACAAAAGTTTGTTGATCAACAAAATTTAGCACTGCTGAACAAAAGTACAAGTTGACCTTTTTGGTTCAGCAATTTGACCAACTGTGCCACAATTCTTTCAATATTTATTATAAAATTCAAAATAATATTAAAAAAGCCACCATGATGTCTGATAAAAAAGAATTATTTTTACATAGTTTACAACATGAAATTTTATTGTAAAAATTTGCTACTGACTTTATTAGTAACTCTCACCTTTATTCAACACTTATGATAGGCCATTTCCAAGTTCCCCCGGGCCTCTGTATCAAAACGAGGCTAAGTGCTCAACATTTGATATGGAAATGAATTTTCATTCTCATGCAAATAAAACTCATTTTTACATGAAAAGGTTGTGCACTTGGCCTCACTTTGAAAGTGAGGGTTTTGGAACTCGGAAGTGGCCTATTGCGGATGACAAGAGGAGCCCGCAATCCTTAAATCTCCAGGTTGTTATTACGCATGCATCGCATGTATGTAGCCAGCATTTGATTGGACTTCCACTAAGAGTGAATGGAATGCACAGAACGCTGTTTGATCACGCGCATTTCGACCTTCTACCCCTCGTAATCTGATCACGCATGTTTTGACCATCTGTCACGAGAAACCTGCGCAAAGCACTCACTGCGTTTGAGCAAAAGCGTTTGACCTTAGATCATTGTTACCCGCACTCCGTAACCTTTGGTTATTACTAGTAATATATAGATTTAGCCAGCGCTAAAAGCGAAGCTCCCATTAATAAATTAATAATTTAACTCAAACAATAAACTTGTAATCCACAAAATCAGTTAACTTAAGGGCACATTCATGTGACTTTTGAGGGAAAGGCTAAGTGATTTTAGAGTGAAACATCTTACATCGAGTTGATAGCCTTGTATGTACACCCAAAAAATAGCAATCATCTTCGATCACATTCAAGAGCCATAATGGCTCTTGATCGCAGTAGATTAGGCCTGGAAAACAAATTCTTGGAAAACAAATCAGGCCGGATTTTTTGCGTTCGACAAGTTTACGTTACAAAATCTTGCCAACAAATCTGAGGTTGTGTAAACCAACCTTTAATACTTTTGATACATCACATCTGAGTTGAAACAGTACTTTATATCATACAGACCTCGGACAGAATGCAGTACTTCACAATTTTTTAAGACAAATTGCACTCACTCAATATTCAGGACGATCAATCGTGGGCTCTTAGTGAAACCATGCAAAAAATTTCCAAAATCACCTACACGGCCAGCCGATTCTCACTTTTGACAAGCCCCAAATTTGCAGTGCGAGCTGTGTAGAGTGTTTGAATGAACATTAGTAGAGTTACGCTTCAACATAATAAAGAACTTATTATGTTTATTTTTTTATTTAATGCTTTTATAACGATGTGTAATCTCAAAAAGCGTTTGATACGCGCGGCATTTTGAGTACTCCTGCAAGCGGTGTTCATTAACGACTGAAAGCAAACGGCACAGTGATTAAAATTGCAAGAGAAACTACTAACAATCAATAAAAGAAATATAAATATAAGTCGGTGAAACATTTACAGAGACAACAATTTTCATTCACGAAGACAAGTATAAAAGTGTCTCTAAAAATCCTGAGTCTTAAATCGAACCCGATACTAGGTCAGATCATTGTCTCAAATCTCACAAACGTGCATAAACTTGCTGAATAAAACTGTGCTCGACTTAATGAAATTAGATATAAAGAATAAACATCAAATACAATAATTACTCAGGTTTACCATTCGAGATGCAGCTCCTGAAAGCTATCAAGTAAGGCCAGAATCGCTTGAGACTTTTAAACCCTCTTACACATCAAGCAAGGTGATGCCATCCGAAATCGGATTTCCAACTTTGAAAAGCGACGCATTTCTCAACCAAAAACCCAATAAACAAACCAGCCATGAATAACAGAAGACTCTTGATAGCAGCTGTATTTCATTTTTGTACATTCAGTAGAAAAAGACAGTTAAAAACATCACAAGTTGACACAAAACTCTGTCAGCTTCAGCTGTCAAAGTAAACAAGTTTCAAGATGCTGCATAAATTTTCCGCATGAACTCATCTGTCAAATTTTGATCAATCAGAGCAAAAAAAATTGGACGTGGAGCGTGACCATGGTAAGAATAGGTCTTCCCCGCCTGTATTTTTAAATAACTGGCTGAATTTTCGTGTCTAAGGTCAGTTTGAAATCAAAATCTTAATAGTGCGGGGCCGCTCGGGCGGTGTACGGTCACTTGTTTAGCAAGTTTTCTGGGATGGGTAGATTTACCTAGCTGTGGGGCTCCGCCCACACGCGCGCGCGTGGAGCTCCGCTATAAATAATATAAATTACAACGGTTATGCAACAAATGTTCACCGTATATAAATAAATTGTTGTTAAAGTAAATTTCATAATATTACTAACAAATCTTTACACTCTCTGTTATTAATTTATTATTTTCAAATGGATGAATAAGACAAGAACGTTCCAGAAACAATCTCTAAGAAATTTTTCCTGCTGCAAACACTCACCTTAGTAATATGGACAAGAAAAATGTTTTAACTTTGCTTTGTTTTGTGGGAGAGTCTCATAAGCACTTAATGATATTTTTTCTAGTTCAACACTTGGTTTAAACCATTTCACAGTGGTTACCACTAACACGCGCCCTCAAAGGGTTTTTTCTTCAGTTCAAACCTGGTATGGGATTTGGTGGACGTCAATCAACAGTTACCATGGTTTTCACGGGCTGGCCAAGAGAAGGTTGTTTCCCCGTTTCTCAAGCACTCGGAGGAAAATGTCGTTGTTTAAAGCCGTTTTTGCAGTATTTTGCAAAAGGATCTGACACCGCTTCATGTCAAGATTACGAGGAGTAGGAATTTGTTGAGTGTATGTCGGAGGAAACTCAAATTATCGACTTATTTAAACACTGTAAGTTACAACCACATAAGCTTTCTCGGCAATACACGCTCGCAAATCGTCTCAGTTCTTGCTAGTTTAGGATTCTATTCGATAACATGAAGAATGATGAGTAGATCTGCAGGTAACAAAATTCATTTTCGAAAACAGCCTCCATTCAGAGGAAACCTTGTCCCTTGTCGGTGTGACATCCTTCGTTTCTTTGCATTTGTGTTCCTTGGCAATTTGTCCACAGCTCCCGTGATTTCTTACAATCAAAAAGAAAATTAAAAATTCCGTATTCTGGCAAGTCTTCGCCCTTCATCCAGCGACGAGGGAACCCTCTCTGTCAGAGCACGTGAGAAAACCATGGAATCAGTTGATTGACGTCCACGAAAACTCAGGCTTCAACAGAGAAAAAACCATTCCAGGGTGGGTTTTAATGGTAAACGCTGTAACAAAATTTTTATAAAACCATTTTTGCTCCAATTTTAGAGCTGTTTACCAGAATTTACCAAAAACAAAGATTTAATTGAAATGTAAGTGAAAATGACTGTAGAGTAAACTTATGGGATTTTTCGGGATATTCTGAAAGGGCAAGATCTTAAGCCGTACCCTTGGGGGGGGGGGCGGGGTACTCTTGGGAATTGTTAATGGGGGTGTGCCACCCGGTTCTCCAAATCCTGACCCTACTTCAGACCAAAAATGCAATTTTCCACACAATTCATTCCCGTTTTCTGACCTCGTCTTTAGGCAGAAATTATGTTATCATTACTTACATTAGAGCGCAAACAAAACATTTTTCAAATGCATTTCGAATTCGCATATTTGCTTTTCTTTCTTACTCATTTGGAATTGACACGATAAATACGTTCATACACTCCCATAGTTCCCTAAAAAATTTCAGACCAAGACGGTGCAAAAACTGTACCTGATGGGGCAGCAGATACCTATATAGCTTATATAAGGGAGTACCTCCCCCCCCCCCTCCCCGAAGCCTTATCTAAATCCTTTTTGATTTGACTTGGGTCAAACATTAGAGTCAACAGAGCATGTCAGTGCTAATGTCTCAGAGCCAATTTGCCTTGAAATGCTGATTTGCTGAAATGGAATCTTGCGGATATGCTTGACCTGGCTTGACCGTATTGACAATCTTTTTCAGAGTCATATATTGTCACGTTTCTTTATTATGTTGTTAAAGTTTCCTTCCTCATTTTGATTAGTATTCTATGTACTTATTATAAAATTTATTTCAACTTTGTATTTACACTATTTCAAACTGAATATGACAGTTGACCTGCCAAAACATGTCTTTAAGCATAAAAAACTGTTAAAACAGCTGTTTTATTAGAACAACAAAGAAAAAACTGACTTATTCAGTGTCAAGTCAACATTATGACATTATGTTCTCAGCAAGTACCCTAGTTAATTTTATAACTTTCATCTTTTAGGCCAAAAAGAGGGAATTCTGTTTGCCAGTATTCCACAGACAGACCAAGATGGCAATAGATGACAGCAGCTGTACACAATGCTTTGATCATGCTGCCAAGTTTCTCTTTGAAGTTACCTAGTCACCATTAACATTTATGTTATTGTTGTCTCTTTACAAAACTAAATCACAACTAGGAAATTCATTTTACACTCAGTACTCTAGATGCTATATTTTTGTAAAATTTGAATCGGTTGGAATGGGTTTGAGGTGCATTTTACACAGAAAATACATTTGAAACACTTTAAGTTAGTCACATCAACTTGTTTTAGTAGAGGATGATCAACGTTACTACAACTTTAAATAAAAATTTTTTTATACTATCATTACCAATAAACGTTTTGAGTCGGTTATTTAAACAAAATCTAACTTAGGCCACGGTTTCAGAAATCATTGGACCACCAGATCTTCTTCTTAAGGGGTTGATTTAAGAAAATAAGTGCTTTTCCAGACAACACTATATGCTTTATTCAAATTGTTCATGAAAAGTGGTGCTTAGATAAAAGTGTTAGGCAAACTGAAAATGGCTTAGAACGTGGTTTTGTTAAAAGCGGGCTAAACTCTGTTTAAATAATTGACCACTCCAGAAAATACCATATTAAATATACCATAATGCTCTTTGTTTGTCCCCCCAAAATCTTGCATAAGCGTTGTATTCAGTTTCTCTTGGGAGTTAAAATGGCCCCAAGAGAAACTGAAAACAATGCCTATGCAAAATTTTGGGGTGACAAACAAAGAGCATTATGGTATTTTCTGGAGAGGTCAATTGGCCCTTTGTGTTAAAATAAAACCAACAAAAGCTCTGTTTATGTTTTGACACTTAAATACCAGTTCATTTACAACTAACAAGTAATTGAATCACTTCCGACAAAAATGTAGCAAGCTGAGCTACTTTAGTTCTTCTTTTTATCTTCAATGCATAGTACCTGAGGGAGTTTCTGGCCATCCTCAGTAACCCAGGGGTATTCTTGCTGTTCAGACAATGTTTGCCCATGTGGCAACATGATTTGCACCTCGCCTTCTTCAGATCTCACAAAGACAATGCCATCAACATGTTTTAGTCTCATCCACTCAGCAGTGGCTAATGCAGCAGCATGACGGGTACCAAAACGCTTCCCATCGGCTTTGCAAAGTTGATAGTGCTGTGGAAGGAACTTAAGTTGCACTGCAGCAGCTAGTACTGTACCACTGTGTGAAAGCACAAAGGCACCATCCTTCGGTTGCATTTTCAACGCTGCAAGTTCTGGTAACGTTTTTAATGAGCTGTCTCCAGAATTTGCTGCAAGGTCCTCAAGGAGTGACTGCTCCCAGCGATCTGATGTATTAGGTGTGCAAAAGGCATTTAGGAGGTGTGGAAAAAATGGGGTGTTTGCTCTGTTAGCCTTTTTTTGACATAACTGGTGAAGACAGTCATTGTCTAATGACAAAAGTTGCAGATCATTCTTGTGTTCCTTGTCAACAATCACAAACACAGCACCTGCATGCAGATTAGGACTAGTAAGGAGATTAAGTGCTGTATTTAAGGTGGCACGATATTTTTCCTTGCCAGATGCAATCATAGAGAACACATGACCAAGGTCTTCTAGCTTCACTGGTACTGCTTGCATAACTTCCAGGAATTCTAACCTTACACAGGAAGTAACTTTATCTGTGGATGATGCAAGAGAATAAGACCCTTTGAAGGACTCAAAAAGCAAGAATTTGCCCTTCAAAAGCTCATCCAAATAACACTTGCCAGGTGTTAGCTTTAGTGCAAAAGGTTCCTCTGGTGCAAATAAATAGCGAAAAAAAAAGTAATTATTCAAGTTCCTATATAAGTTAATAATATGTGAATGCAGATCCTTCAAAGACTCAAGAGAGACTTCATACTCAATTCCTCGAGTAGCATGGCTGCGCATTTTGTACCCAGTTTTTATAATTATCCAGTTGATAAGTCCAATCAAATCATCAGATATCTGCCAAGTAGCATTGCGTGGGTCATGGTGTTGATGATTCACAACAATCTTAGCTTCTCCAATCTTTCCACCCATGTCAGCATCAATAATGCATGCAATTTGTTCATCCTCCATAGGAAACCAGTGATCCAAAAAGTCATGTAAAGCATGAATTTGAATGGCTTGAGGCCATTCTTTCGCTTCCTCTAAACATTTAATTTTATCGCCACGCAAAAAAAAAGAGCGATACTCAAACCACCAATCCCTTGACACGTCTCTAATAAAGTACATCATGTTGCCAGGATTTAGGTCACCATGGACTTCTTCATGTTTAGTATGGAGATACTTGAGCATACCTACAATGAACTTCAGATTCTCAAGAATCAGAGGTACCGCTTTAAAGCTTATCATAATAGTGTATAGTGAGCACGTTTTATAAAAGATTACCGGACGTCTAGGTTGAAACATACCGTGAACTACTTTCAAGACAACGTGACGGTTATCAGTGCACGGCAGAAGTTCGGTTTGCTTCTCAACTAAGAAGCAGCAGCCAAAGGCTCCATGTCCAATCCTTTCCACGATTCTATAGTCAGGTGGTAGCTCATGTTGAAAATGAAGCCTAGCCATATTGACATCCAAATCTTTAAAGCCATCGTAATTCTCTGGATCTAATATTGCCAAACTTTCACTCTCAACCTCTCTGGGTGGTTTTACGTAACCCAAATCAATCCAGGATTTCTTCTCTGCCAGCCCAGTGTCCTCTCTGTGTTTTCTTTCCTCTGACGAATCAGGCGAATCACTTGTTGATGTGTTGAGTTCTTCCTTTAAATCTTCAACATTTTCATACTGCTCCTCTTGCAGCTCCTGTTTTTCGACAGGGTCTGGCTGTGGATTTTGCCCCTGTTTGTGTTCTTGCAGTAGCCGACTTTGCCCTTCTTCTTCGAGCCGCCCTTGTGGTTGCAGACTGCCTTTGCTTCCTTTAGATAGAAGGTTTCCCATTTCATTCGTGGTGTGCGATTAGGGAATCTGTTACATGTAAAGCATCTCACAACAAGGTTTACCTGGCTTATTTACCTGTCTGTAAGTCTACTAGCCTGAGATCATGTCCTCTCCCTATTATCCCTTTATGTCTCTCACGGATAGAGGGCTAGTCTGCTACACAGCCGTTTTCAGTGTCGTCACGCAACGCTCCTCCTTAGTGGGGAGGAGCGTTGCGTGACGACACTAAAAACGGCTGTGTAGCAGACTAGAAGAGGGCATGACACATTTCTTTGTCGGATCACATGTAAAAAAGCCAGAATCTGGACTTTTTCCTGATTGGATAGGAAACAATACGGATGATTTGCGCTGTTCCAATTGGCCAAAATGCCACCCTCCCTTAGTTGTTGTTGATTTCAGTCTGCATTTTTGCTTGCGTAATGAGCAGTGAGTACACACGCGAGTTCATTATAAAATTTCTGCCGGCTCAGTTTTCTCGAATTTAAAGAATGCCTAAACAGAAATTTCTTCCATTGAAATATTTTCCATCTCATCGTTTGCTAAAAAGTTGCAGTCAAAAATTCATTTGAATGCAATTTGATATTGCAGAAGCGACAAACGGGTTTGCTTTTCAAATATAAAGCAATTCATGAATGGAAACATTGACCTGGTTTGACTGTAATTCCTCCTTCAGAAACCTGCGAATTATTCTGAGCGATCTTCGCTTTCATAACACCTTTCAGTTCGTAAAATATGGTGCTTCAGCCCAATTTTTTTTCACTGCTTTCGGCAGAGAACGAAGTCAACGAGCTTTAACCAGTAAATTCTTTATTATTTCATGTAGCTGTTAAATAAAGGTACGGCAGCTCCAGCTACCAGTATTTCATCACAAAAACAACGCATTTAAAATTTTTTGTAGGAAGCGCCATTTGAACATGGACGTACTTAAAAATTTTCTTGTCACTAAAATTTGATTTCAAAAGAGACATCATATAGTTATTCGCGCCAAAATTTGATTCCCGTATGGTAAACGCTTATTGGCTAATAACATGACAGATCAACCTAATCTCGTGCCCAGATCTCACTCTGTTTTACCTTGGCCGTGGGAGATCTGGGTACGAGATTAAGGTCCAGCAGACGTTAGATTATGTAAATTAGGGGGCGGTTAACGGCTTGTTAAATGAATTCTCAGGCGTTATTTTTTTTCCATCTCGAGCCAAAGAAACAAAGAAGCAAAAAAATAATAATAATGCTTGATCTCAGGTTACAAGTCTACAGGCTGCGTTTTTCATCCGTTGGAATGTTCTACATTTTTTTGTGTACGTCCTTTCTTTTGCATCAAGGAAGTAAAATGACGTAATCTCTGCGGCTCGTAGGCTATGGTGTGGTTCAGTCTCTTAAATAAATCGTGTTTATCAGAGAAAAAAAACTTAGCAATACAAATTTGTTAGCTTCAAGGAGTATAAAAAGGAAGAAGGCCTCACTTCCGGTTGACGTGCGTCGCTCAAAAATGTCTTTGCTTAAGCTCCCTATTGTCCGTACAGTAAAACCGGTTGACTGTACTGGTTTTACCAGTAATTGTGTTACTATATTTGTTATTGCTTTTGAAAACTAGCCTTTTATGGGGAGTCATTAGGCCATGGATGCGGGACTTCCAAGAATAGAAAGGAGCGTTAATTTGAATACAGTGAAACCTGTATTAAGCGCACACCCCCCGGGGGGGGGGGTACTTTAGGCTGGGAGCCTGGAACCCTTAACCTTTACCAGAGCTAGTTCAGCTGAATTTTGCTACCCTATACTAGAGTAAAATCCCCAAATCCCCCTATCCTAGAGTAGCTGTGTACCTAGTCTAGATAAAATCTTCAACCAACTGATCAGTTTCCTGAAAAATGATACCCTATTCTAGAGCCAAACGCTCTGATTTATATACCCTATCCCAGAGTAAACTGCTTGAAAACCATACCCTTCACAGCGGCACATACCTATATAGCCCATATATGGCAGTACCCCCCCCCCGGGGCACACCCTCAGGGAATGCTGTAGTGTCCGCTTAATACATGGAGTCCCCCTTATACAGGTTTCGATAGATAACGTCATATGAGGTGTCAAATGCCATTCAAATGAACAGTGGAAACGTTAAGAATAGTCCCAGAGACTTTGAAGGTATACGTTTGCATTAATTTCTTTAGATCGCAACTCAAATTTGAAGAAATCAGATGAGTGTAACAAGTTCTATACAAACAAAACGAAATAGAAAACAATACTGTACGGTGAAACCAATCAAATAAGTTCGTCAAGTCACGTTTTTTAATGTAAATATCGAAAACGTTGTGGGTGGAAATTTTGAGGCAATCTTTTGCATTTCCGGTGTCTGGGATGTTGGGTGGTGGAATTTGATTACAAGTGTCCGTTTAATACAGGTTGGTAACAATAGAAATGACTATTCCACGTACTTTTTAGGTGTCCGCGTCCGCTGTCCGCTTAATAAAGGTTTCATTTAAAGTAAATAACGAAAATAAATTTTGGGCCTTCGGCTACTGTTCGCTTAATAGAGGGTGTCCGCTTAATACAGGTTTCACTGTACTGTAATATAAAAATCTCCAGGGTCGCTGGGTAACCTTAAAGTGAGCTTTTATTAGCAAATGTTTCACTGTCCCTTTTGAAACAAGTACACAGGAGGGTGGGGTAGGAACTTTGATCTCAAACTCATAACTCCTTTGTGTGTCAGTTCTGTGCCTAATTGCGTGTCAAAGTTTTTCCGCCGATCTTTACGTGCACTTGTTAGATAGCCTTCTCTTTGTAAGCGTATTAGGTAACGTTCCAAACGCTCTGATGGCGACAAATGTTGATTCAAGCTTCGAACAATTATTGTACCTGGAGACTCATCCATGGTTTTCTGATTCAGCCGCTGTGCAAAGCTTGCACTGCGAAATGAAGCCTTTCTTCCTACTCTCGCCTTTCCTCTGGTCAGTGCTGAAGTACAGACGCGGTTATCGCCAATCAAAACCTTTGTAACTGTCTCTACAGGAGCACTTTTGACACGCCATGAGCTTTCCGGACTTGATTTTAAATATCTTGAGCTTTTTCTCGTCTCATTTCTCGACACAGGTTGTCCTCTATCGTTGTACAGGTAGAAGAGATAGTTCGTAGCTCGTTGTCGCGAAGCTATGAATTCACACTCTTCGTTAGAGAAACCAAGGTTAGTTATGCCGCGGCGACAATGTGCAAACCCAGTAGCTGATATTCTAACGAGACCTCTCGAGTTTTCGTTCAAGCAGCTTTTCGACTCTTCACGTGTGACTGCAGATATTAAAATAACAAAAAAGATTATATTTACAGTAAAAAAACACGGTAGCCTGAGTTGAAAGACGTGTAGAGGGAAGGACAAAAAGGGGAACTGGAAAGAGAAAATGAAGGCTCCCTCTCCCCGTCCTTTACCCAGGGCTTTTGCTTTTTTCTCCTCTTATCTGCCCTCCCCCTCCCCCTCCCCGCCCAACCCACGGCAATCAAAACTATAAAATTGCCATCAGAAGAAATCGTGGGAAAGCTTAACCGACTGGCTGCTTTGCGACCTTTGGATTTGCTGTTTACAAAGAGGACATTAAAGAACAGATTCTATCAAAGTAAAGTTGAATACATGTTATGGAGTTTTCGACACGATAGCCATGGAAACGTATAAGATCATTGTCAATAAGCTAAGCGAATTTATTTCTATAACAACAGCGATGGAAAATATTACCTAAGTTAGTTGTGTCGCTCTTAGCAAATGAAGGAGACGGATTTTCCCTGGATCCAGACCAAACATGGTTCGTGATTTGTGCCTTACGTCCATTGCACTCAAAACTCGTAAAGTTGACCCGTTTTGGCGAGTTCCAGGCCATCTTAGCAAAATTTTTGCTTATGTCAAGTATAAGGATATAAATTTAACCGAGGGGAACTCTAAGAACCGCCGAAGAAAACGAGTGAAGAGTGAAAACTGTGAACCTGCGAGAAAAAAAAAAGAACATAACTTCAATAAGATGGTCATCAACTCTGTAAAGCAAAGTTTCACAAAGGTCACATCATTCGCAAATAATGAAAGGAATTTTTAAAAGCTCAGATGGACCGAGAAAACGAAAATTTTATTTCTTGCAAAGGATTATTCAATCTTTGAATTGAAAATAACTCGGTCACAGTCCCCCTAAATCTCTTAACGCACCCTTAACTCCACTTATTCTCGACAAGAAAATACTTGCCATAAAAAGAAAACTGCAGCTTGATGATAATCATGGTTCCTTGGATTTCGGTAAAAAAAAAAAAACTTCTTCATATCTTCAGCTCGATATTGCGAACCACTTCTTTGTTTAAAAAGTGTAAACGGGTGTAACTGATGGTTCATGGGACTGCTAAGTGACTACTAACAGAAGAGTTATACAATCCGTACTTCAATCACTTCACAAGCCATAATTGATACTAGCCTGGCATCCGCTCCTGTGATTTTGGTTTCCTTTGTTTATTGAATGTTAGCGAAAACTGTACACTGATTAGCGTTTCACTAATATTTTATAAAGCTTCATATTCATAACTACTGTAAATACACAAAAGAAAGAAATACTCGCGAGAACCGGCTTTTAACAGTACATTGAGATCATCGATTCTAAGGCTTCTTAAATATGTCAGTATATTTCAGGGGCACCCAACGAGGATATAGTTCAAAACCACTTAACATAGCATTGTTGAACGTATTTTAATATTTAAACGGTAGATATAGGCATATTTTTATCCCCTAAAAACTTTTCATCTGTTCGGATTTCCTAGCTGAAAGTCTAGTGATCCGAAAATTATAGGGATAAAAACTTACCTTCTCGAAATTTTCAGCCAGGAAAAGGCTCCCGAAAATTCTAGGTGGCCTTTTTTAGGGTCAAAATCCGCTAAAAATGGGTAATTATACCATTTTGTAGATGTTCGAAAATCCTAGGAGAGGCAGGCAAGCAAGAAATTTTACAACAAATGCTCCGAAAATTCTAGATCTCAAATCGTCTTCCGAACAGATATTTTCCCGAAAATTGCCGTTGGGTGCCCCTGATATTTTTCTGCTCACTCCAGTACATGTATCACCCACTAAAATTGCAGATTTTTAACCTATTTGATTCGCGGAACGATATTTTGCCATTGGAGCAAGATGTTTCTCTGGCTAAACTCGAAGAATTATTTTTAAATGTCGAATTCTTATTAAATATCCGCTATATTTTAAACCGAAACCCGTCACACGTAACCCTACGAGTCGTTGCACTCTCTTCAGATAAGGAAGAAATTCAGTTAATTCGACGTTTTACATCTCTTGCAGTTTACAACAAGAACATATAATAAGCACAGCGTGGACCAAATTACACAGTAACAAATTAATTCAAATCAAGGATCGAGTTTTCGACAAAGCGCACATAAAAGAAAAAGCTCATAACCCTTAAATGCCTCTGTTTTATGCATGTAATCCTTTCCTTCATAATTTCCTCAAGGAAACAACTTTCCCTTTAGAAGTAATTATGTAACCATACATACCGTTGAAGATATTCGAGCAGTTTTTATGTTTCTTTGCTTCTGTTTATATGGTTGAAAATCTAAATTTCAAGGTTTTTTTCTACTGTCAATTTTTGAGTGGATGGGATAAACGCTCTCACCCTTAGCCGGCCAAACGTCTCTATTACAGAGGGTAATTTCACGCGACGTAGTTTAACATGTCCCGCAGAAGATAAGGAATATTATACTCTGTTAGATATATCTGAGATTTGTGATTGATAGGAGAGTGTAAAGAAAACAATGTTTTGAATATTGATATCAGTTTCTATTGAATAAAAAATCAGCAGCAGTCTAATTAACATACTGGAACACCTGCTCTCGAGTCCAGGTCATTCCGCGCTAAGAAAAAGGTCGCTCCATGTAAGGAAATCCGAATCCCAGAATCCAGGAAATTTTTGCTCGTGAAATTCGGAATCCGGGAGATATTTGCTTGTGACATCCCGAATTCGGGAATTTTTGCCTGTTTAATCCCGATTCCTGCTACAGCTAAAGGAATCCGGAATCTCAATAACGATTAGAATCCGACGTCAAGTTCCACTGACAAGGATCCGGAATCCAAGGCCTGGAATCCATTCCTTCCGGCATGAGGCAAGAATATGTCTATGCTGTAGGCAAGATTAGGTCAGCAATTAAATTGATGTATTTTGTTATAACAGTGCGTATAACTAGTTTTCTATGCGCGTTTTAGTATCAGCGATTAGTTTGCCGAGTTTTCTTATATTAAACTTCAGGTGGTAACAAGACACTTACAGAATCAACTTACGTAGCGATTAACTAGCTAAGTGTTTTTCATTTCGAGCGCGATAGTTTGTTTCTGTGCGTGTTTAATTTAGAGTGAGCAAGATGGTTCTTGGAAAGTTTTGATATCAGCGATTAACTTGCTAAGTACTTATAATGATAAAGTACGCAAGTTGGTTCTTTGCGGGTTATGATATCAGCGATAAACTTGCTAAGTACTCATAATGATGGAGTGAACAAGTTGGTTTTTTGCGAGTTGTGAATCAAAATATCAAAAGCGGAGAATAGCCACTGAATTTATTGCGAGGGAGTAAGTAATCTTTTCATCCTATACCTTGTAACAATATCCTCATATCATTGTTAGTCTTTTCTCCCAGTTTTAAAATCCCCAGTGTTGGCCCTTGGTAAGTTCTCGAGTGAAGATAAAGAGATTAATTATCTGAGCAAGCAAGGCAGTGTTCGTAAGTAGTGCTGTTTATTAGTCTGTTGCTGAAATCTTCAGGCTTGGCTACTGAAATAAACGCTATGGAACGGTAATTTTCTATTAACTACTTTCTGGTGGTACCGTTTTTTAAATGCGCAAGGTAGTTGAATCTATCGATAAAAATCCTTCTTGTTCACAATCGAATGCTGTAGGATTATTTGGTTTACTTTTCTTACAAACTGTAATGGTAGATAACTAGAGAATTTTCTTGGGAAGCATCACTGATCTTCAGCTCGCACAACACTATTGTACGTTGTCATTGCTCAACTCTGTTTTGATTCGTCCACATCCAGTCTCTTGTACCTAGCCGTGTAAAGAGCTATAAGGGGAGTACAGACCACGGTCGAGGAGACTAGTAACCAGTTCATCCAGCGCGGGCTGGCTTGCGGAAACATGAACGCAACGAAGAACACAAAGTTGATGGCGTACACAGATAAGACCATCACGCCGGAAGTGATCCCCTCTGCAACAGGATATGTGCATTCAGCTGCGAGTTCCATAATAAGAGGTACAGTACCGCAGAACAGGACAACTTGGGCGATACCCGAGGCGTAGAAGACGGTTTTTGTCAGAGGTATGATTTCCTCACAAGCTAGTGAGAGGACTGTTTGAGCACACGCCGTAGAAACGAAAAGAAATAATAGGATTGGTTTGGTAAAGCTCTGAATGCGATCGGCATACCTGTGAGAAAAGGGCAAAACAAGATATGAATTAGATTATAAATCCTGATAATTACTTACACATAGTCTTCTGTGTGGGGGGGAAGGAAGGGCAAACAATCATATTTGATAAGTAGGTGGAATAAAATCGTCCAGGTGAGCGTAGGACTACACTCACCGAACGTTAATATCCCACCTACTTATGAAATGACTCTCCTGGGTTCAAACCTTTCACAATCATAATAAATTGTTTTGGATACTACCGCAGACATCAGTCTTACAACAACTAGTAATTATGGCCTTGTCTTTTCTTTTCAAAGCAAGAAGGTCATGGAAGCGTCCCTTCCTTTTGTCCTCTTCTTGCCTGTCGCCTGCCGTTTTCTTTGGAGACTTCCACTTTCGACCTACCGCGGGACATCATGGGCTGGGTGGATACAGTAGGCTCTTAAATGAACTGAGAGCGGCTGCCAGTGGCGCCTTTGTATGCTGACGTCTGAGCTTACTGTTCACATGTTAAAATGATTGTAAGAGGGTACGTCTGATGGCCTCTCATACACGACTCTCTCTCTCTCTCGCTCTTTCCAGGCATATAACCGCATCTCGTATTTTTAAAACCTTTCGCGCTCAGTAAACAGTACATAATTCTCTCTTCACTCACACCGACTTGCAAGCTTGGGTACCAGACCTAAGAATAGTGGGCCCACGTTCGATTTCCAGACGAATTAACCTCCGGGGGTTTTCTTAATCTGACTTTGTGGGGCGTAATAGAACCCCAGGGACGTAAAAAAACCCGCAAAGACTACCCCTAGAGTGTTGTCCCTGGTCTTGGGTGAGTGAAATTGTAAGAGGAGATCTTAACATAGGGACAACCTCTCAATCCTGCCTCAGGGCCGTAATTTAATAACACCCCATCAGTAAGGGGTTTGGGACTGTTAAGCAACTGGTTAAAAGGTGCACATATCAGGCTCCTGGTACATATGGATAAGGAAATTGAAAATCCTACTTATTGCTCATTTGGAGACTGCTCAGGTGCTGGGTTCATACTAATTAAGAAAGACATACTTACCATGAAAAGGAAATGCCCAGAAGTGACGCAACGTTGGCCCCAAATCCCAACCAGCCAGCGGTTTTTTGATCAATTCCAACGCCGGAGAAGATGAGGTTTTGGACACTAGACCAGCCCCAGTTCACCCCGTTGCTTATACTGAAGATAAGTAGCAATAACCAGAAAGACCGGTTTTTGAGAAGAGTTTTGGCGCCGGAAACAAAATCCAAACGCCCAGCCGCGGATGACAGGCTTGGTGGGACGGGTGGTTTGGCGGGAAAGTATATAATCACCGCAAAGAACAGGACACCCACTAAGACAGCTTCGACGAGTAAATAGTCATTAATCCTGGTCAGCAGAAATTTCATTTGCTCCGGTGTGGTGTTATTTCTTAACGTATCGATGTCAATGCTTTCTCCCGGGTGATAATGTGTTAAATTATCATAGTCTACGTCAGGAACGAGGTTTGGACCAACGATATAGCTAAACGCTGAGCCGAGATAGGAAGCCAATGTGGCGATAGCCGTGGCGGTCATTCGCTCGTGTGGCGGGAACCATGTCGCTGAGAGCACGAGAACTCCCGCGTTTTGAACGGCGGGAACCGCGACGGAAATAAGGAACTCGCTGAAGGTGATGAGTCCTGTCCTCACATGGGGAGGGGATGGGATAAGTTCCAAGGCAACAGCAAACGTTTGAAGAGATATTGAACATATGACTGCAAATCGAAGACCTGCAAAATAACAAGAGCCCAAAATATTTTACACTGAAATTGCTAAAATTTAAGAGTAAGATTACAAGAATAGTACACGAGATTGCTTTCGTGCCAGTGAACTGACAATCTAATAGGCAACCCGAACTTTATCCACGCGCATTTTCTGTACGTCATTGCTGGTATTTTGCTGTTATTAAAATTGCTACTTGTACTTTTAGTGAAATCAACCTCTTAATATTTTGTATTTGTTCGCTTGTGTTTGTTATTTTTTCCAATTTTTGATCGTTCGTCACCATTAGTCATTATCATTATCGTCATCGTCGTTAACGACAAACGAAGGGAGTAACTATTAGTAACAAGTGGCCATATAAAAGGAGGAGCAAGTCTCGAAAAGTAAAGCTTGTGCGCCCTTAGCAATCCGTGGTGGTGCTGCAACGTCCCCAATAGGCGAGTAGCAGTCCCTACCGCACACGACGCAGATGAAGCTGAAGGAGGGCAGAGTGGGGCTGTTTTAGCGGCGATCGCGTTTCTCGTCAGCTTTCCGGTGACGTTTCACGTCGGCTTTTTCGATTCCTTCTTTCACTGACGTTCTCCAGGAGGCACGATCACACGCAGCATTTTCCCAGTTGTTTTGGATCAATTTTGCATGCTTTAAGGTCATGTTTGCGTGCGTTTTTGAACCGCAGAGCGGGGCACCCGAATTTCCTGACTCTCTTCAATTGACCTTATAGAACTTCTTTGGAGATGCGTCCATCATCCATGTTATGACCATGCCCCAACCATCTCAGGCGGCGCTGACTGAGTAGGAAGTACATGCTGGGGTTCCAGCACGTGACTGTATCTCACTCTTGGTGACGTGGTCTTGCCACTGCCTCGTACCCAGACGTCTCTCTCGATGTGCGCGCAAAGGAAGGCGGGAAGGAGACAACCGTCTGTACCCTTCCCATGGTCCCTTGCGGTTCATCACCAGTCACTCGTTTCGCGCTCGCCTCTGCCATGCGAAAAACGAAGCGGCTGAGGAGGAGGCTGGTCTTGCCACTTGACGCCAAGGATGCGCTTGAGGCATTGCAGATAGAAAGAGTTCAAGCGATGGTCCTGTCTCATGTAGGTGCACCAAGTTTCATTGCCGTCAGTAGAGCAACGTGCTAAGAACGCATGCCTGGTAGATGTCCCTTTGGTTCTTTCAGTCAATCAGGTATTTGTTTTCCTAGGCTCTCTTGGTCAATTTGGACATGGTGCCGTTGATAAGGGTTTGGAATTCTGAGAGGAGTATCCCCACAAAAACTTTGGTGAATATCCCTCGGGCTTTGGATACTGACTCGGTGTAGGGAACTTCTTTGAGTAGAATGGATTGCTTGTTTTCACTTTGTGTCGTATTAAACGGGTGTCGTATTAAATGCAAGTGCGCTGGATGGTAATTGCGGGCGACAAGAGGAGCCCGCAAACTATTATAGGTCAGCGGCACTTTCTTAACTGTACAGCTAGGTTTCCCAAAAATTTGTCCACATTCTTGGGATGCCCGTGTTCAGCGTACTAATATGAACGGTATGTGGTCGTGAAGGCCATGATGTTGAGTTTAAGGACCATCCGATGTTACGGTAATCACGTGAACGCAAATGCAAGTGATGCAAAATGCACGTATTAAATTCAAGTATAGACGTAATGCACTAAATGCGAGACTTTTCGATTCACCTTGCCAGCCAAGGGAAATGAAAATAGAGCCTGATTTCAGCTTAGTGCGGGACGAGTCTTCGGTAAGATACTGGTAATTGCAAAGTCTACAAGTCAAAAAATAAGCTAATTCAGGTTACACTACAAAGCATTTGTATACGTTCCCAAGCATGTTACGTCGCTTGTCATCTGAAAGCTCCAATAAGTTTTTTCATGATTTTCTATTACATTTTAACGACCTTTGGTCATTGTTCATTGAACACGAATTGAATATCCGATTGAATAAGGGACCGACGATTAGAAAAGTTATGGGGGGGGAGGGGAATTTTCGAGCTGCAGGAATTTTTTTTCGTTATCAAATTCCTTGTATGAATTTTTTTTAGGCCATAGCATGAATATTTTTTAGGGTTCACTGGCGTGCAAGAATTTTTTTTCATTTAATTTTTCCTTGCGCGAATTTTTTTTTTTTACTTCGCCCCCCCCCCCATAAGTTTTCTAATGGTCCGTCCCTAATAAGACGTCACGTTAAGCGTTGTTTATGTCACGCATTCCTGTTTTCATTTTCCTTTGCCGGCGAATGCAGCCGTCTATTCTCGCTTCTCATCCGTTCGCATGCTAACTGTATCCGAGCCACTGTAAATGAAATCGTTGAATTCAATATGAGTCTTCAATATGTGTTGTTCAATTCAGTTTCCACATTCATGTTCCGCCGAGATTCCATTTGTTGACAGTAGAACTAAAGGGGCTTTCTCTAATTCACGTACACATTTATGAAAGCGATTTTCAGCATCAATCGCACCTTTAAGGTAAACGTACATGTTTGCCCGCACTTCCTAACCTTTGGTTACTGCTTGTTGCTCAACTGCGTCGTCTGTTTTAACCTTTGATTGGATGACATTAATCCGGGAAGCATTCTATACTAGGCTCGGACTCGCTAAAGCGACAGAAATCGGGCCTTACGATTTGCTCAAAGCCCTTATTTAATTTACTACCTATCTTTGCCACCTTAGCTCAAGGCCCAGCAGTCGTCCTCTCGAACGAGGGAGCTTTTTGTCTCTCTCTCATCATTTCTCTCATCCTATGCTTTCTTTAGTCCCGGGCCTTAGGCTCGATTTACTACCAGCCAGTGTCTGGGAAAATAAACCTTCAGTAGGCGGAAATCGAACTTATGCCTCTATATGGCCGGTAACCGGTAAAGGTTTTCAAAACACTAAATGACCGGAAGTCCCATATTCTCATTAAATTTCACAAAATCGAAAAATCCCAGCTTATCTAAATTATCATATGTCGATTAAGAAAAGTCAGTCTAGCGGGTTTACGCTGGGCTCAGAAAACGAAACCATGTTTTGTGACAGTTAGAACTTTTTTCAGCTCGACTGCCGGTCAAAGTTTTCAAAACACTAATAGCCTGCGAGCAAGCTCTCCTCTTTGGGCGAGCAAAGCGAGTTTCGCCACAGGGAGCCCAGAATCACAACAGCAGTATGCTGTTGTGATTCTGGGCTCCCTGTGGTTTCGCGAGAGCGCGCGAGCGAGGGGCTTTCCTCGACCCCTCGCTCGCGCGTTCTTGCTCGCAGGCTAAAACACTAAATGACCGACAGTCCTATATTCTCAGTACATTTTGCTTGACTTTTCTTAATCGACATATGATAATTTAGATTAGTTGGGATTTTTCGATTTTGTGAGATTTACTGAGAATAGAAGACTACCGGTCATTTAGTGTTTTGAAAACCTTGACCGGTTACCGGCCATAACGGCACGGCGAAAAGCGCTATGCTTTTTTACGAGCTTTGGAATAAAATCAAATAAGACCAGCCGAAAATGCTTTTATGAAACATGTCCTAAATAAGCCACCGTTGTTCTAAGGCGCATTAAGAGTGCAATGTCGCTCTTGATCGAACTTCACATGATATGCAAATCAGACGGAAGTGTTTTGTTCAGTGTAAAACGACATGATCATTGAAAAGATTGTTTTAAACCTGTTTATACAAGCGGTCTTGCTGATCAAATACGAGACAGGGTTAGCGCTGATTCGAGACATGCGATGTGCATTTTGAACGTACCAAATGGAAAACTATAGAAATAGAAATATCTTCAAAATTATTCTGATTATTTGGATCTATTTAGGGTCAACATGACGGCCATTTTCCGATCGCAAGCTAGTCGTTCAAAGGTTGTCTTAAAACATGTTTATTGTAGACACAAGGCAGAGAGCTGAAAATTTACGCCACGGCGTAAAAGGACAAATGAAAAAGGGGCGGTAAGGGCTATCGCTAATCGCCTGTAAAAGCCAGGGAAACGTTCGCTTAGGTCACCAATGGAGGGCTGTGGCATCTACGGATTTACTGTAATTTTGATGCCATATAATATTACTAACTTCTAGACAATTGTCCGTATATGAAACCCACGAATATCGTTTGTATACCGACGACCTATTGCACTGTACGTGATCGACGGAATTTTCATTCCAATAGGAGTTTCTATCATGATACTTCATCGAATGTTGTATGATGACTCTACGATACTCCACTTCCTGAGATAAGAAGCGCTCAGGCAAGCTTCCAGAGCTGAAATAGAGTTTTCAATAGGCTGTTCTTTAGCTCTGTTCTAGAATATAAAAGAAAGGCACTAAACTAGTTTCTACTCACCTTTTGTGTCTAATAGCCAAGCAGAGGGGACTATACTAATGATAGAACCAATCGCTTGCAAGGCGCCGATTATCAAAACATTCTTCTTATCCCAACCAAATACAAGCTGGCAAGTTTCTTGAATAGGAGGCCACGTATTCCATAAAATATTCCCCGTCGTGTTTAGTAGCGTAAAGATGAACAAAATGTACCATCTCCTTCTGTAGACTTTAATATTTCCGGCCGCCATTCGATGAGTATCCCCTGGTGCAGCGTTTACAACAAGACGCGAAGTTTCATCGGTTTCATCGGCTTCAATCATAGTCAAATTTGTCAGATGGCAGTCACGCAACTTTTCATTTAAGGGCCGTTGTTAATTTATAACGAGCAGTGATTTTCCATCGTTCGTCCTCGTGAACCGACACTCAATTCTAAACGAACTTGAACCGTGAGTCTTTTTCACTCCATTCTTCGTTTTTCTTTCTGTTTGACACGTTGTCTCGAGCGAAAGATTTCAGCTGGTACTGTGACAATACAACCAGTCGTTATTCAAATGAACGCAATCTGCTTGGAGTTCGCGTGCCTCGCTCGAGTCGCGAGTCAGCTACGTGAAAATAGCAGTCGACCGTGCAACGATGAGGAATAATGATCTGTCACCACCATGCGGTACATGAGCCATGCAAACCGATGAATTATAAACTTATTCTGAAAGGACGTTCATCCAGACCTGCGATAAAACTATATGCTAACTAAAGAATGTTATTGAATAGTTTAAATTATCGAATGATAAACAATTTTTCATAAACTTAATTGAAATTAAAAAGTGTCACGTCACATAATCTCCAATGGCAGGTAAGGGTGCTTTCCAAAAGTCGGAACTGGCCGGGCAAACCAGTCATTTTGACAATGAAATAGGCTTTTTCCAAGGCCCATCTCCTTGGCGCATAATATTTAGGATTTAACTGATCTGGCTGGAGAGTTTTGATTAAAAGAAAGTTTTAGGATAAATTGAGCCAAGCCTAATGACGGAGCTCCCGTTTCCGCGAAACAAAACTTTAGACCATCACAAAGAAGTTGGCAAATCTACTTCATTTTAACCTCACTACTACTAATTCTTCCTATCTATTAATTGACGTATCCAATAAACAGTAATAAAGTTATTAGTTATATTGGAAAGAAGAGCAGAACATTAGATCCCCACCCACTGATATATCACTGATATACGCACTGATATATCTTTGCACGGGAACACAGAATGTTTAATTCACAGTGTTACAAAATTATGGAGACAAGGAAGTAAGTCCGGGGAGGAAGTGAACTTATCTTACCTTTTCTTAGCTTTCTAACGTTCTTGAAGCAAAACGGAGTCCTGCTTACTCAACATGATCACTAGGAAGAAGGAAATTGTCTAGTTTTTAAATGAAACGTCATGGCTACGTAATGAAATGTGAGAACCGGTTCAAAAAATAGGGATAACCTCTAGAAACAAAACAGTTTTGAGAAAATAAACTGAAAAGGGGAATCATTTTGGCCTGAGATAAAACTGCTGAATGTCATTAGATAGTTTTAAAAAATAAACAATGCGTTCGTTATGCTTGACCGAAATTAAGAATTGTCATTTCAAAAACTTCGATAAAACAAGTTTTACCTCTATTGAAATTGTCGACATCCTACTTTTTGATCTTTAGCTGTAATAAATTTTTTCCAGTGCTGGTAAAACTTAAACCAGTTCTCGCTTTCTTGTCATTTTCGTTTTGAGGTTCGCCTTCCATGCGGGCATGCGATCTCGATCAGGTAGCGAAAAAATGTTGCCTTATTCAAATACGAGGTCTAAGATATAAAAATGAACAAAATATTTATGAATGGGCCCATTGCAATAAACGGTCACATGGCACAATAACACCTGGCTGGATGGCAAACGACGCAGTGGGGCAAGAATACATTATTTAAAAAGCTAATATCCTTTCTTTTCAGAGGGTCTCTACAGGGTTAACCGTCAGCCGTCAAACGGCCTAAAATTTAACCTTCAGCAAGAGAGGATAAAGTTCAGAGAATTAATCCCAATATGGGCCCTATACCTATCGTAATCCCTCTAAAGTTATTTTTAGATCTTCTCTGAGATCTGTTGTTCCTAAGATGGTTGAGTGATAGCCAATCATATGTCCTTAATTTTAACAATCTTGACAGCTGGGTAGCCTGCGTTGCAGCCGGCCCACGCACTCGTCTAAACCCTTTGTATAGTCCGTCTGCGAATTAGTGCACAAAAGCTCGTTCTAATATCCTGCAGAGTCGCAAGGACATAAGTGAGCGTTTCTGATAGGCGGGTTTCTTACGGGTTTCTTACGAGCCGCACGATTGGCCTAATTTTTACGTGTGCGTGACGGTTGGGCGCAGTGACATGTCAAAATTCACAGAAGGGAGTTGGCAAGGATCGTTTACAGTGAACAATGAAAGAGTAGTTCGAACTTCAGAGCCGTCTTCTGAGCAAAAAAACGCTTTAAGATAATTCCTTCAGGCCAGAATTTGCTAGTAAATTTGCCGGCTGGTTTCCCATCGTCTTCCAATCGCTGCAGATGTACAACTGCGTATTCTGTAATTTAGCCGACAGTTCTAGAGTCAAAACAAATGAAGAAATCATCACGTTATTCACGATAAAAAAAAAACTACACACATGTAGCTATTCAGGTCCAAGCGTTTCGTTGAAAACCAAAGAAACTAAGGTTATTTAGCCGCAATAAAGAAGCTTAAGGCTTAATCAGAGGTAAAAGAAAATCATTTATGCATCTGTGATCAAATCGTCTTAGAAAACATTTGCCAAAAAATAAACTACAGGAACTAATTACTCAATATGTATGAAACAGACCAGCTTCACAACCTCTAATGTAGCTAAAGGTGAGACTCAAAGCGGCAAAAAAAAATTTGCTCAGTCAGATTGTAGAATACTCCACGCACTGTATAAATTACGCAAAAAGAGAGGAAGAAAAACATCTGTTGTTCAAGCTACTCTAGGGGTCTCTAAAGTCACGTTTCACACTATCACGAGCTCAATCTCTCTGGTCACGAGCTATGAGTCATGTTTGGCCTGTCAACGCTTAATTCAAATCGGACTAATCACAAACTGCGAAAGAAAATAGCCAATCAATAACGCCGACATATTTCTTTGCGACTCTACGGGATTCGAACACGATATTGTGCACTAATTCGCAGACGCTATATACAGAAGGTTTAGAGCGTCTGCGACGCAGGCTAACAGCTGGGCGAAGTCCCACGCAATGCTGAACAGACGATAATTTCCCAAACACGTTTCTTGGCGTTTGCAACGCGTTAAGTCGTTTACTGATAGAGTAAACTGGCACAGTTTCTCCTAATACGGACCTCCCAGCCGGTGAATAACATATATTTATTTTATGGTTTCTACCTACTCATACTAACGTAAGGCATTAAGGCAAAGTTGCTATTTATTGTAGTTATAAAGTCAGGTTTTCGCTAATGACTCTTTCAGCCCTTACGCTTATGCCACGTGTTCCCAACAACTTTAGGGACCTTACTAACCAACAACGGCGATGCCAGAAGCTGGGAAAATGAGTCACCGAAAAAAAACTGTCTTCGCGTCCTTCGAAGCTTTTTTCTCGACTATTTGCGCAAATTAAAGCAGGACAATAGCGAGGGTGATCAAGAATGCTTTTCAGCTCGAGAATTAATGTAAAGGAAATGTCTTCAAAACTACAACTTCTTACTGGCAAAGAAATTACGGAAACTTTCCCCACCAACATGATATTCCATCTTTTATGTGCTTTGGAAATTCGCCTCTCTCTCTCTCTCCTGCACTCAATGAATTCAGTTTTAAATAAAATACCGCCGGTTTGTACTCAACATGAACTGTTGATTTAAATTCACCTGCATGGCTAACTAATTATTTCTGGCCCCGGGCTGTTTAATTTTCACTGTTAAGAACTGAATACTGTTTTGTCTTTGTAAGCGTGGGCTTTTACCATACGTTGGTTTGTATCTCTGATTGGCTGAGAGATTCTTGTCATTTCTTCAAAAAGTACGAATTGTCAATTACTTTTTGGAGTATCGTTAATTGTAAATGAAAAGGAAACACCTTTCTCCCTTAAATGTTTGAATTAAGCGTACTTAAACGTTTCCTGTGCATCTTTAAAAAACTTTAAGCTCATGTGAAGAGCCAAACAACCCAAGCTAACCCACAGAATACATTTCACAAAAACTAAGTTTGAAAAGGGTTGTATTTTTCCAGTGAACCTTTTGTGTCTTGTCGATATCGATCTTAAAATCTTTTACTATGTTGTCATCCACCAGGTGTTTCTCTTCAGTTTCAGGGAATTTTCACCTGTACAAGGTAGAAGCTTCTTAAAATCAATCAAACACAATTTTGCCCCCAAGTCAAAAATGGCTACGACAGTAAAGGTTCCTTGACACGCCAGATAGGTCCGCGATAAGATTTCATCGTTTAATTTTATCTCTGACGCTTTACTGAGGTGACCATAAGTCAATTGTTTAAAGATTAACACACACAAAAAAATTAATTTCCCATATAAGCCTGTAGTCAACATGACATCGTGGAGTCACCCCGTGTAGACAGCTGTTTTTAATTTCTGGATGAATGATGCCTTTTGGCTTCTGTACTGAATTTCTATTAGTGGTTTCCATTTTGGAATGATTCTGGCAGAGTGATATGGAAATGTCTCACCCATGATTGGCTAGAGAGATTTAGAAGTAGTTTACACGCAACCCAGCGCTTTTAACTACAAATTTGCCAAATTCAATGCCTTGAAACCTAACGTATTTAACAAAACTCGAGAGAAGTGAAGCCCATGCCAGTCGCTGCTAAGGTAAGATCGCTTCATGCAAGACATTCAATGTTTGTTTTGTTTCCAAGTTTTACTCTTTCACTTGTATTCAATTTCATATTTCTTCCCGAGTTCTACCAGTTTTTTTATTTTGCGTCCCAACAAACAAAAATATGAGATTTATCTCTCAAGCGCTATCTATTCAGTAGGTGCCAAAATCGGGCGGGTCTCGAGTTGGCAACGCATGAGACTTTTTGTACTTTGAGACAAGCCTAAGTTGCATTTGACATTATATTGAGTCGGAAGCTTGATCCTTGACCGATAATCTCTCTTTTGAACATAATAAACCTGTGAAAGCTTTGCGCCAATTTCTAGCTGTTGCAAAACGTCCTGGTATAAAACATAGTTGACGCCCTTCTCTAGCAAATCAATATATTGTATTGGTTAATGTCATTGTTCGTTACAAGCAAGTTCCAAAGTGTAGACCTCTTATTTACCTTTATGAGTGCCTAAAACTTCTTTGTTGCATAAACAGAGTCGGTTAAGCCCCTGCGACAACTAATAATTGTAGCAAGAATCAACCTATAGCCCTTGGATGACTAATTTTACACGTGATTGAAATGGATTATGTTACTCTCTGTATGCACAAATATCTGTACCAGTTGTCGGTCCAGGTACAGCCAAGAGAGATGACTTTTCTCACGGTAAAAGACTAAAATACAACTGTGCTCTTTCCTTTGTTATGGTTATCACCTAGTGAGTACTAAATGTACTGCGGCAGGCCCTGATTGTTCGGTA